CATTCACTCGAATCGTGCGAATTGAATTTATTGAAAGGAGAAAAAAAGATCTAAATGGAGGCTTCGCAATATATAGCCGATAGGTTCAATCATAATCTTTGATATATTTCTAGTTATCTAGAGATTCTGGTAAGAAATTTAGGTAGCTGGTAGGGTAGTGAATAACAGTGAGATTATCGAGTTGTATTGTAATCTAGCGAATTGTATTGTAATCTAGCGAATTGTATTGTAAGTGTGAATAGATTAAATATGAAGTTGATGGAGGGAAGATCGTTGTAGAGTGTTTTCAGTTATGTTGAAATTCGAATCATGTGTTACTACTAATCTTGGCTCCTATGGCATTCAACGTGTTAAATTATCTTAAATTACAGGTTCAATCGTTATAAGGTTTCCTGTATTAATCGAATGAAATTTTCGTACGAAATCATAAAATCTCAATTAACTTATAAGAACCTGACAGTGAATGAAGTGAGCGATGAATCGGACGATAGCGAATAGTAAGGACGCGTGGGTGGATGATTCAGTTGGCGGAAGCCGGTTGCTTTGAAATCGATAGACAACGTCGGCAAGTTCCCCCAATGGGATCGAATGGTATATATATTTCAATCGCTGACGCTTCGAAAGACCGTGAAAGATGATCTCGCACCTTCTTTTCCCTCGAACACAGGTGTACTCCGATCGACCACCACCGGGCATTCTTCTCGACGCAGAGACTCGAGCATGCTCGCTCCACTTAACCGGCGCGATATTCGAAGTATCATTACAGAGGAGAGACACGCGATCGATTTAGTGGTGAATTTATTCGCCACCGATCAATTAATTAGCCGATCACTGTCATTACAGGGACAAATTACACACCAGTGAGAACGTATCGAAATTACACGACGTATCAAAGTTGACGCGTGTCATTACGTCGTTTTACTCGGCAAAGTCACCGACGCGTGATTGATGAATTTATTCGAAATGCTCGCCTTATCTCTCACATTCAGCTGGCGAAATTCTCTAAACCAGTATTCGGAGCGTTTTGCTTCTAGATGGGAGATAATGTTTTAATGGACGTTGTCCTTTCATCGACGAGAGGCATGAGCGAAACTTTCGTAAACATAAAACTCGATGGCTGTAAGCGTGGTCGTTGAGCTGATAATCCTGCTGCTGTTGTCACGGTCGATCGATTTTTTTTCTTGCTTGCTCGTTTATTAGTCGCATTCATTCATTATTTTATGATATCGAATCACGACCGCAATACACGTCGCGACATGAAAGTTGCAAACAGGAATCGCGTTCATCATACACGCACTGAGCGTCGCGTTTCGATATGATTCGAAAATAAAGTAAACGCATGTGTTTACCATTAATAATTACCATTGCTGTACTTTTCCACGATCCAGAATTTTCAAATCTATCAAATTTTTTCATAATTAACATATCGTAATCTGTAAACGCTCCTACAACACGCGTGAATCCTCCCTCCTCCATTCGATCGCTCGATCCCCCGAAGAAAAGCTAAGGAAATCAGAAAAATCTCGACTGCGAGAGTTTTTACTTGCAGTTTTAAGTATATTTAAATATATCTAAATATTATTATTAATACATTATTATTAATAATATATTTTAATTAGTATTAATTTTAAGTATATTTAAATATATTTAAATATTATTATTATTATTAAAATATTTTAATTATTATTAATTCTAAGTATATTTAAATATATTTAAATATTATTATTATTATTAAAATATTTTAATTATTATTAATTCTAAGTATACTTAAATATATTTAAATATTATTAATATATTTTAATTATTATTAATTTTAATTATATTTAAATATTATTAATATATTTTAATTATTATTAATTTTAAGTATATTTAAATATATTTAAATATAACCCAGGCAAAATAAATAAACTTATTACCTCTCAATAATTTCTATCCAGTGATGTCACACCGACGAGTTCAATAGAAAAAGAAAGCGACGAATTATTGTGTACGGTCGCGGTCACTCGTTATGGCCCGCGAACCAGTTGCCAGGCGCAAAGGGGTTAAATTGACCGTTCAAGCGAGGCAAAATAATCCCGAGGCCCCGATATGATGATACGAGGGAGATACGTGATACACGCGACGAGTGAAATACAACGTTCCGCGTAATTTATCGCTATGCGCGATCACGAGTGAATCGGGCAGGCTTTTTCTCGCGTGATAAACCTAGAAGAAAGAATCGTCGAGGAGAGACAGAGAGAGAGAGAGAGAGAGACGAGAGGCGGTCGAGGCTCGAAGCGCAATTCACAAGGGATGAACGATGTAACGGTAGCAGTTACAAGCAGAGGACAGGCTGTCGTCTGACGGCGCGTTGAGAGAATTATTTATTGGAACCATTGGCGCCGGCGGAACGATTAGCATACTAATGTCCTCGAACATCTTCCCTGCATCGTTTGCGAGCCGCGTTAATCTGCCATTATTAAATTATTTCGCGTTACACAGAGAAAGAGAGAGAGAGAAGTGGATCAGTGGTGATTATCACTTATCAATATCGCGGGACAGCATCGTGACTAGGTTATATTCGTACGTCAACACGTACGTAGACGCGTAGATGAAACTGGTATGCGACGTTGGCAATAATTTGATGAGATCGTGGCGCGCTTCCGGTCAAGAAATTGATCCGAGGAAACTGGATGACGCGTTGGCTTAGGTGAAAAAGATGAGGCTTTATACTCAATTAGCTGGCATATGTCGCGATCACACGGCGAAACGAGATACGTTTGGTTCACGCTCGGGGTTTACAATCGTCGTGGTGTAAACCTGAAGGAGAAGGGGAAATTTGCAGCTCGGTCGTAAATTGTGATTTATCGATTGTTAATTTTAACGGGCGAGCATCTCAAGAGTGAAGCGACGGGCTATGAATTTTTACCGAGTGACAATGTTACGAAAGTATCAACGTTGATGATTCTTCGAGGCAATAATAACTTCTTCTTTGGAAAAGGGAACGATAAGAAATTGAGACTCTTTGTAAAAAGTAAAAATTCGACTCGAGTGTTAGAAACACTTTAGACAAAAATTTTCTCTCTCCGGGGGGAGAGAGAAAATGAAATAAAAAATTAAATAAACCATTTGCAGAATGTATGTGTACGATCAACTCCATAGCTAACTTCGAGATTATCTCGACACGAAACAAATTTACGGCGCCAGGTAATTAAGTTAATCTCTTTAAAAGTCGGGCGACCATGATTGCTCGTGAAATCTTGCAGTTTCAATTTACGTTGGGACACATGGTATATTTACAGTTGTACGATTTAATTAAACGATAAAACAATTATTTCAACTATTCCGACGGTCATTCCGATCCAGCCAATTCGACGTCGAATCCTTCAGATTCCCGGCATTGTCGCCGCTGCTCGTAACGCGTTTTGATATTATGATATGCCCCCGTTGAGACCGGCGAATCGCCTTGGAAATCTCGCGGTGAAAGGCTGTATTATTAATTTGCACCGGCGGTAATCGATCTTCGCTACAAAAATCAATGCGTTCTCGATATTCTCGCAACGCCGTCGACCGAATAAACCGTGTCATTAAAACGGCTCATGAACACCTCGAGCTCAGTCTAACGTATCTCAAACTAAACAAAAAAAGAAAACGGTATATATCTCCTGCAATCACGTGAAAATCTCGGAATGTAAAAAAAAAAAAAAAAAAGAATGGCGAATTATATCACGCAGGTGCCATTGTGAATTTTTTTCATAACGAGGGTAAACAACTCGCTATTCGTGTTATATTATTCGCGTTACGCGACAGGCGACGATTGAAGTCACGATGAGATTATGGTTTAATTTCACGCTGAATTTCACAATTACATATGCTTTTCTGATTTATACCACGTCTGAATATTAATCACTTTCGTCATATCACTGCAATTATAATTTACATATCTAATAGTTTCTTTTTTCCTAGCTTGACAGTATTAATTTGTGATAAACTCGAAATAAATTTTCACATTTTGCCACTTTCGATAGATTTTGCTTCAAAATGAGTATTAAATCAAGACGCTAAACGTTTAGATTGATTATCACTCTAAGCCATAAGGAAACTCGTTTCGCTTCGAACGCTGCCTTTTAGGTGGACAACGATGTCTCATAAAGATCTATAATAGAGGACGGAACGCAACAATACAGACGTTGATTTATCAGGCAGTAAACTTCGCATTGCTTTATTTGCCCCCTGAGTCAGATTATTTCCTAACGTTCGTAAACGAGTTACTAAAGAGAGAAACAGCTCGACGACAATGGGCGAAGGGTCGCGCGTGGGTTGGCGATCTCTGTCATTAGAAATCAAAAACACCGGCGGTAATCAAACAAACATAAAAGATTAGAGCGTGATTGTAAAATTGTTTAACTCTGCCAAGATCGTAGGATAAATTTCAACCGTGCAGTTCTGCACGGTCTTGTAGGCAGTGCGTACGTGAGAAATACTATTTAGTAATTACACCCACTCTCCATGGGCGATGATTTAAATCCGATGATAGTTATCACGGTAATCATTCGTGTTGGTATTCGAGTTGCACGATATACCAACATTCGTAAGATTATTTATTATATACGGTAAGCCAGATTTACGCGAACATTATTTTAACACCTGTTGCTCTTCTTACGCGCAACAATGGTAAGAAGCGAAATTGGAAGAGTTTACGAATTTCATAAAAAAAAAAAAAAGATATAAAACTGTACCGATCGAAAAACAACTTGAAAAAATGTTCGACAATTTTCACATCAAAAAGCTTGATCGAAATTAGAACGCGTAACCTACATCGTGTAAAAGACACTTCTCTCCTTTTTGGCTAATTCCTCGATGAAACATTTACATCGTCGCATTCGTCAGTTTCGTTCATGACTCGTGCAACAAAAACGAATCGATCACGCATATGTAAGTGGCAACCTGATCCTCGGAATATTAGATCGAGCCATTGACATTTGAAAAAGGTTTGGAAAAAAAAGGAAAGGCAAACTCACCGCGACAAGGGTGCTGAGAGCTTCAATTCGCATAGTAGCTGGCCAGGCCAGCGGGGAGGCCGTAGGTTGCAAGCTGTTGGATCGATCACGTGTGTCGATCCTCGATTATTGGCCGACAATCTTATTTGACTTTATTCGGTCCGGATGGTGTCTGGCGAATGATCCGATTCTCCCGGTTCTACGTCGATTTCTCGCGATCCGTGATACCGGTCCAGTAGCATGGCTCTTGCACCGATCTGGTGGAAAAATATACAATATATAATACTAAAAATTAAAACATATAACATATATAATATTTAATAGTCATGTAATAGTTACGATCTTCTCTCTCACTATTTTTGTGTCTCTTCTTGTCTACATTATAAAATGTAAAAATGAAGAAAATGAGAAAGAAGAAAAATTGCAATAACCGAGGTAACGATTACGTTACATTACGTTACAGTGAGTGATGGAATGTTGGTGTAAACTTGGATAAAGAGTAAATCATAATGCCGTGGTTTAACACACATTTTATAATTAAACAGTTTAAACTTCGGTGTAGAAAGAAGCGAAGAACGAAACAAATTTCCTGAACAAATGAATCACGCCTCACACACACGTACACGCATTCATAACCGAGTTAGGGAAGTCTTGCGATGCGACTGATTCTAGTGGTGCGAGATATCGCGATTTGCGGCTTCAACAGTTTGTGAAAGATTATGCAAAATAACGAGCAACAAACGTAGAAGAAAGAAAAGAGAAGAGAAAGGAGGAGAAGGGAAGCACGATAAGTAAGATTAATGGTGAGGAAGCCAGCGATCGTACGGCTCAGCCCGGTCGATCAAGATTTAATCTTGATAATGAAAAATTGACTTAAGGTATTATGCCTCTCCTCTTCGTTTCTATCTGTAACAAGATGACCCATAATAGGAGGAATTTCTAATAAAGTCTTATCGATACCTCCGTCGATGATTAATTTTACACTCTAGTAGCGCTAGTCGATAATTAACGTCCACGGAAACTTTCGTTCGAAAACTTGGCGTCAGTTTCAACTTTATCGAGCGGTTCTCGACTTTGTGACAGGAAATGTACATATTCTTTTTCTTTTTTTTTTTTTTTAACGTCACATGACACCATAAACTCGCGTAACTTAATTTCACTTCACTCAAAGGAAAAATTTAACGAGACAGTCGAACGAGGAATCGCGCTAAATTTGTTGCACAGGATTGGACGAAACGAAAGCGACAAATTTTATTCTGACTAGTTTGACAAAGTATTTCAGCGGATGACTGAGAACCGCGTATCGCGACGATGATAGCACGATGTTAATATCGAGAAGGAGACACGACCGCGCGGCCACGGAACGTTGCGCTAGACTGGATCGATCTTTAAGATTTCGCCGATAAAAGTTAAACGAGGCCAAGTTAAACGCCGGCGTTTCGGTTAAAAAAAAAAAGAAAGAAGAAGACTACCACGCTTTGCGCCGTACGGATGAGCAACGATAACGCTGCGAATCGATATCTTATCTCGACGCGTTTCCGATAGATGCCAATTACGTTCATGTCTGACATGCACTGACCTATCGAAGTGATGGATTCACCTCCGAGCGTTGTAAGTCTAGCATCCTCCTTCGACTTTATTTTCATTCCTTTTCGACAGATAGATATTTTAACTAGCGACACCGAGTCTGTTAAGAAAAAGAAAGCATCCGTTTCTATAATACGTTAATATAATTTTTTTTCGAAAGACTTTTTATTTTATTTAAAAAATAATTGTCGATTTTAAAATTTAAGGATTATTAAAAATTATTTTTAACAATTTTAATGATCTTTAATGATTAAGATTTAAATTGTTAAAGATTATTAAAAAGATTCTTTTTTTTTTTTTATTTGAAAGATAATTGCTGTTTTATTCAAGTAAATTCAAGCAGACGAACAAATCAAACGATTCTAGTGAAATTCCAGCGACATTACATACGCATCGTTACAGACGATAAAATGAAAAGAATAGCTGAATGGATGAAATGGGAGAGTATCAAGAGCCGAAAAAAAGCGTTGAACCTAAATTTTCTGATCTGGATCGAATAAATAGATCACACAGAAATGTCTTGAAATTCATTTGTAGCATATCCATCTCTGGTTAATCCTGTCAGATTAACTAGCAGCAGAAAATGTTCAAATATTTATCAAAATTAATAAATTAGTATTACTTTGGTGCACTAAATTAGATAGACACTCCAGTACTCAAAACTCCGATTACGACGAAATACGAGAAATATTTCATTAATCGCTACAAAACCGCGAGTCTCGAAAGATTATTTTGAAACCAGCTAAAGCAAAGTGTTCCAATTTTTTCATAGAAAATTACAATGTTTTCCACCAAGGAGAGAGCTGAAGAATGAACGAAACCAAAGATTCTGTTGGCACTGTCGCGAGTCAATACACTGAATCCAATGTGAATCGAAACGAAAGTTGAACAGCAATTGTAAAATTCGGATTCGAGAAATTTTCACCTGAAAGAATGAAATGAAACGAACAGGTACCGATCGGTTTTCAGATCTATCCGCGAAACTATCCGCGATTTCTTGGAACGATCGCGACTGACAAGCGTAGATATAGCATGGCGGTGTTACACGTCCGGCAAACGCTCACCGCTCTCAGTATCATTCGTTTATATGAGTTAATGACTCTCGAGAAATCATCGATTGGTCAGTCTTGAAGCCGCGACGCCTCTCACATCGTGTAAAACACGCCTTCTCACGCTCGTGTAATGGACGAGAGTTACATTTCGAACGACAAAAGGAGGGTGGCGAGCGTCGAAAGTGAACGATAACGGTATAGATCGGCGATGATATTCCGCGACTTCATACTCGTTTTAATAATGTGTATTTGATCGGTGGTAATTCTGAAATACTCGTGTTATCCTACCTGTGGCTGACTTCCGCTCAAAAATCTTGAGACGATCGTTGCACCTCGCAAGTATTAAAAACAGCTCGATGAACTCTCAGGAGTCGAATTTTTGGAATCTTTCGTCGATTTGAAGCCGATTTACAAATAGAAAAGACTTTCGAGCGAGGGTTTAATTACATTAACGGGAGTTTCAATATTAATTGAAGGAACAACGACGCAAATTTATTAATTGCGAAAGAGCCGAAACGGGTTGAATTATTTCTGACGAGAAGAGGAAGATTTATAGAGTTCTATTACAGTCTCGCGGAACCAGTTTGGTTTCACGCGACTCCGTGTAAAAAGTTCGAAGTAAAAAGAGCACACACCTGACTACAATAAAAAAATTGTGTTGGTGCTTGAATTACGGGAATCTGTCGCACTAAATTATTAATTTTTCAATTTATCGGACGAAGAAGATATTAGCGACTATTGGTAAAATGATTTGTAAATATATTTATGATACAATATATATTTAAATAGATATGACTTATAAATATACACAAATATATGGTGAAAAAAATGGAGTGAATAAATAAAATTCGTATTCCATTTATTCTAGAATATAATTACCACGCATCATATATGTAACTGTATAGTAATTGCAATTACTATGGACAATTTGTCAAGTGCGTTCAAATTTTCACTTTCGTTGGTATTTTAAAAATCGTCTGTTGGTATTTTAAAAATCGTAAACCGAAGCGATTGCAACAGTGAAACAAGACTGTAAATAGAGAAAGGTTTCTACAGTTTTCAAATATCATCGTGAACACGAAACCGCTCGGTTAAAATGCCGGCTGCTTTGCATCGTAACTGCGCCTCGTGTTTTCTTTATGATCGTAAACCTTATTCCATGCAAATTGCTATCGATCTGATTACATCTAGTTTTGAACGACGATCCGAGAATGTCTCTACCGTGGATGGTCTCTGTTACGAAACGATTGTGAAACCGATCGAACACCTGCTAATTAAGAAGAGTAACGAAGAGGGGAAACGACGTTGAAATAGTCTTAACCGTAGAAAACGCTTTTCGGTGAACGTAGTACATAGTTAATTAGAATAAATCGACCTGCTCGTTTCTATCTAAAATTACATTCTTTGATGTAATCTCAAATGGCATGTGTAATAAACATTGACAATTTATTAATAATAAACGTTCAATACTAGTAATATTATTATATATAATATTTTCTGAGTTTCTTAGATAATATAAAATATACATATTAATATTTAATATTTATAATAATAATTCATATTCATCGCAGCAGTAATTATTCTTCCTCAAACTCAATTATTATTCCAGCATTCTACTTCGCAAACACCCGGTAAAACATGCTCGAACGTCGTGAGACCGCCGCGACCATGAGGATTCAAATTGAACTCGATCGGTCGAGAAACTGGCCCACGAACAGATTCCACGATCAAGTCTGTTCATCGTGAATCAGCCGAACCCTCTTTTCGCTAATGGCGCAAGAAGAACTCACGGAGGGAAGAACCTCCGATAAAATCGAAGTGGGCGTTCGTCGGTTTGATGAGAACGCGGCTGCCGCGTAATCGCACGCGTAAGCGGATTAAGAATATAATTTCGTATTATCGCCGCTGGACGCTTTCGAATTATAATTTCGGATTACGTTGCGGTGTGTGGTTGCGCGTGAATGGTGAAACGTTGAAATTCTACCGTCTGCCAAAATCGACGTTCACCGCACTGCGCGACCGTAAACGTGAATCACGGAGAAAACGTGAGTCGTGGCCGACGCTAGGAATTCGTCGATAACGCGCAGACATTTGGCGACAGACGGTTCCCGTTATCGAGGTTTCTCCACCTTTGGGGCGATAATCGACTCGTTGTGGCGAATGGCGGGGAGAGGAGAGGAAGAGAGGGGGAGCTGGCGTCTCCTCGTTGCCTCTCGCGCTCCCGCGTTCCGAATATCGCGTGCGTTATCGCCGCGACTTATCGGCGATACCGATTGACGCGGAATGCGGTTGCCGCGCAACACCTTGCTGTCTTCTCGCGCGATCCTGGCTCGCGAAATCGCGGGGAACACGTGTTCGCGGATCCGACACGCTGGATACGGGGGATTAATCCGTTCGCGTGGGTGTAGCCTGATTGCCAAGTGCCGTATACATCGTGTAAAAAGATACACGTTCAAACGTACGCGGCACTGCTTCTTGCAGACGCATATTGGACATAATATTGGCGATATAATATAATTTTGCTGTCGTACAGTTTCGAGGCAAATACCAAATTTTATTATGATCTTCTTGGAGATTCAGCCACGTGGAAGTTTAATTGATCAATTCCGAGGGGACAC